TAATTTACATTTGACAAATTCCTGATGTTACAGCTTGCTGTCAGGACAAACTTTTATCTCATATCAGTTTTTTCTTTATGGTTATTAAAATATATTGGCAAGTAATACCCTATTAATTTAACTAGCAAGGTACATGTAAAAAATAACTATTATTTATGTATGGATCAGCACTTCTCTGCCTAGGATCAGAGCATCTGTGAGTTCTGCCAAGGTTCAAAGTGTCACTTTCTAATGCTACTGCCTAGGATCAGTGTAGTAGGAAAGGAGACATAAAGAAGGAAAAGTAGTAAGGAAGAGAGTAAAAAAAATGTAAAAGCTGTTAAAAGGAAAGTGATAAAGACAAGGCTAAGCATGTAAATGAATGGCCTTGGATGAAGACAAACGAAAATCACAGACAAACAAGTTTGCTGTGTTTATTACTTCTTTAACTCCCTTTGGAGCACAAAGCACATCTTATGTAGGAAGATAATAAATCTATCTAAGTTAAACTTATACACTGATAAAACAAAAATTATGTCATTCTCCCTGCTAGACTTTCAAGCCTATTACTTTGGTACCATCTTCTAAATGTTCAAGGCCTTTGCTGAAAAGGCTAATGTGGGACTAATGTTCATAGATATTAGAGCAGGTTGAGTTTTCATTTTTGTTTTAGAAAAATCAACATTGCACTTGATGTGAAAGCTGGGGCTTGATGTGATAAGTACTGACACTAAAAATTAGATTCATAGCTTTCATCAATTTTTGAGCATTTAGTTTTAAAGATCATCTGAAAAACATGTACAGAAATACCTAATTTCAACAGGCTTTTGCTTGCAAACTGACTTCAATATTTTACTATTTCAAGAATAAATACAAATAAATTGAATGGAAAATATATTCAAAACAGAATTCTAATTATGAATCAAGCAAAATATGCAATTTTTTTACTGTATTCGATAAGTAAAAACTGTGGAAAAGAAATTGTAAAAGATTACAAAAAAGGCTACTCAATGAATAAGATTTTTTAGATCATAATTAATAAAAGCAAAAAATAGATAAAAGTGTATATAACACCATAAGAGGGTGGGAAACAAATTATAAGACAAAATGTTTTAAATTTGCATTGTTTATTGAAAAATCACACTAAAACAACTGTACTTTATAATATATTACATTATAAATTGTTCAGTGTAATTTCCCTTTTAAGTAAATGAAGGTCTTATTTGATGGCACAAAGATTTAGTAATAATGTGCTTGTGCCATGCATTTTGTCCATATAAAATTTGTAAAGCTTCAGTAAATTATAAATTTTATAAAGTTATTTTAAAAGACTTTTACTGATCACGGGTTTGAAATTCCAATGCTATGATTTTGAACATAAAATCATTTCCTCAAAGAATAGTAACAATCTGGAAAAAACATTTTGTGCTATTATTTATCATGTGAAACCCCAACTTTTAAATTGAGTGCAATAGCACAGTTTCAAAATTGGCTGTCAATGCATCAATATTAAGCTCCTGGTAGTCTATCACTAAATGTGCCTTCACTCTATGCTGAACCATAGCTATCAGTAGAATCAAACCTTTATGAGGTTCAAGTTTCTCCTCAGAGTCAGATAACATCCAGCCAGCCATTGTCTATCACTCTCCCCCAGTTGCCCTGGATTTAATTGAGCACAGGATACTCTGACAATATTTTACATGTCTTCTGGCATCTTATCTTCTGACCATTTTTATATTACAGTTCAAATGTTTTGCAGTCAGCCATGTTGAAATTGAGATCATGTATCTTAATTATCGGAAACTCCTTGTGTGGAAGCCATAGTGTATACAGATGCTACCCAGTGCTTTGATCACATTAATACCAACCAACAGATTGAACTCCAATAGCACTTTGTGCACCACAAGAATGTGTCCCACTATTGACTATAGCCATATCTATGTCCTTCTTGATAAGTTTGGTTTGTTAGTTGATTTCATTTAGCGACATATCAACCTCTATGGGTTATTCAATGCCGAAATCTAATAAGTATTTTTAACATAATTTGATATCTTTAACTACAAATGTATTGTTGGTAACTTTTTATGCAAAAATGTATTGCTGGTATTTTTACTATAAATATGTATTTTTATACTTTCTTGGTGTTTTGATTTTTGTTTGTGGGTTCACTATTTGGCCATAGCTGCTACCATTTTGGGTCAGCGTAGACCTGGAAACAACAGCAATTAAGAGGGTGGTTCATGCGTTCCCTAGAACCTCCAATCTGCCAGATGTAGTTTACCATACCCAGAACTACTTCTTGATCAGGATTGTGTGAGAGCATCATAAATCAATCAGAGCTATGCACTACTTAATCATAGGTAATGCTACGTTTACATATTGCCTGAAGAGGATTGGTGCTGAAATCTTTTTCTCTCAATTTGTTACCTAGGTAGTCCTGCAATATTTAGCTGAAGTCATGATACCAGAAACAATATATGTTTCTCTATGGTCTCCATTCTCAACCATTAGCCATTGCTCCTTAACAACTCAGTCTTTTGCCATGCAGCTCGGCCAGTTGTACCTATAACATGTGATTTCAATGCTTTTTTTCTAGTTCCACAATAGATGTATTAGTTGCACAGATACTGCAACTGATTACATTCTGGCTGTTATCTGCCTTGGCCAAAGCCATCGATGCAAGATAAAGCTTGAAGGAGCTTCCTGACTTGGTTTAGCATTTACACTATTTACATTGTTCAGATGCAGTTAGCATTATTTCTATCCTCTTTGCTTAACTTAATTTTTGTGAATTAAAAATATTTACTGAATGAAAAATAGAATTATAACTAATAATTAAACCAAATGATCATAAATTTGTTTGAATCACAGATCAGATTGTTAGTTGAATACTTATTCAGCAAGAAATTCTACTCTATCATAGAATTACCATGTTGTGTATTGGTATGGGACAGGTTACAGAATATAATTCTGATGTAATTATATTGATCAAAATTGTCTAGTTTTGAGACACATAAAAATGAAAGCAAAATGAATTAAGCTAGGTTGTAAAGACAAATTTACTGTTAGTCAATTAATAGATCAGGTACTGTCTACTACCAGAGTTTTCTGAACATCCTATTACAATTGTGTTTGTCCCTCTCTTTGTTAGTTTGCATGACCATTACGCCCTGCCAATACCTCTTGGTTTCATTGAGAAAATGAAGGAAAGAAGGTAAGAACATAGAAGTGTTTAACAGCTGTTTCAGTAAAATGGAAAAAGTTGTCAATTTCAAATCTTTCCATTTCTGTCCACTTCTTAAAATCATGACCAGCATTAATATTTATGATTGTTATTGCAATATTTTGTTAAAATAGTTGAGTTCAAATATTTAATAGGGGAATTTCTAAGGATATTTTATTGTTGCAGAACTCGCCATGAGCTTATTCAATCATTAACTTAAGAATTAAGATTCATCAGAATATTAAAATAGGAAAACCATAAAATTTTCACTGGTTAAAACTAGTGAATATTATGTGCAGATAACACAGACAACCGAGTTAGGATTACATTTTCATATTGCAAGGAGCTTAAATCACATTTGGTCTGGTTGTCTCCTCTTGGTATTAACTTTCTTCAGTAAACCTGTTTTAATAAATTCTTACAAGTTCAATTTTAGCATTTCCAGGCCTACACAAGAGAAAAGAAAATGGTAACATTTTTATGACAGCTGAAGTCTCTGAGGAAAATCCTAAACTAATTTTGTCAGAAGTGTCTGAAGATTTTTTTAAAAGGGTGAGTCTTATGATCTGTATTGAAGCTGGCAAAAACCAGTACATCTGCACATGTTTTTCTTTCAGAGTAAATATTAACCATTAAAAAAAAATACTGCAAATGAATAAATAGCAGAAAACTTACTAACCTAGAAGTTAGTCAAAGTAGCGAGCTAAGAGTCCATAGTCAAACTTAAAATTCAATTTTAAGTGGTTAAGAATTTATCAATACATTAAACATATAATAAAGGCTATACAAATGAAGATCACACACTATTAACAAAATTCTCAATATTAAGTTGATGTAAACATTTTCTTGATAAATTTCCACACACTTTTCTCCCCTAAAATAAAAAAAGTCTTACCTTCAATTCTGGGAAAGTATTTTTCAAAAGCACATGGCTGCAAAAAGAAAGAAAAAACATTTATATAAAATAATATGATTTAAAATAAATAATATAAGGAATTATTCATAATTTTTTTTTTTTTTGAAAAATATGAAAATTTCCTGAAACTCCATTATTTGATTAATTCTCAGACCAAGCATCCTCATCTTTGTTGGTTTGATTCATAAGGAAGCAAAATTTGAAAAAAAATATTAACATATTTACCAGATGTTACATGTGACTGAAAGAGGGCAGAAAGTATAACAGTTAAAAATGTACTGATGTACCAGGACTTCCTTTGTGTCAGATATGAACAAATTTTAATTTTGAAAATGTGACCCAGAGAAAAAAAACTTTGGGAACCACTGTTCTAATGAATTGTAGTGATCTTTCCCCTCTATGTCAATGATTTTATGGCATGACTAGTCTAGAGGACCTTTCCAAGATAATCTTAGCCTACTTAAAGGAGGTTGGTTTATGCTACAAATTATAGCACTAAATAACTCTGTTCTAAATGTATCAATTTTCATTCATAATTTCTTTTGCTTTTTCTTAAATTCTTCATACAAGTATTTTTCACCCCATTTTCCTTTTAATTTTTTTCAATCCAAAATATGACCATTTGGCTTTTTGGGTTACATTTTCTAATTAGCATTATTATTCATTCTTTATTCGGTCATGTAGCATTTACTAGTGCTATACTACTTTAATCAAGATCCATTTCTGATTCACAAATATATTTCACTAAATATGTTAGTCAAATGTGAGTGCTAAGAAAGCAAAACCAGAATAAAAAAGCTGTCTTCTGCACAGGGGCTCTAAACAACACATCCAGCCCACAAAAATCTAAAATCATGAATGTTGCAAAAAAAAAAAAAAAAAAAAACAGATGAACCTGGGAATCAACACCTGAGATATAAAAATGGTGACCTCGCCAACAACAGGCAGTTCAGTTCAACACCTCAACCTCATTAACTGACTTCCAACCCAGCCACACACCTCACCCATGTCGATTTCAACCCTATAGATGGCTTCACTAATCCACTCCAGTCCTCTTTTATAATCATTGCTATGACCTCTGTCAACTAAACAACTCCATCAACTTCCAGATTTACCAACAAAACCCATACACCTAATTGCTTCCCTTACCAACAGCAACTAAAAAACCACATATCACCAATTTTGTTACCTTTTCATACAATCACATATGTTGGTATTATGTATATATTCTGAAAAGTGATCGCTATATGCTGTTGAAATTTTAATCATTGTTTGTTCTTTCCTTTGCAACCCTTTGCTGGTTACAACACTAGTCCTTTGATAGTAGTGTTGATGCAATGTTGATTAGTCTTTTTTATTCCCTTTTCTTTTCAGAGAAAATTGACATTACTGGAATGGTCATTACTTTTTTACTTCTACTTCTCTCAAACATTTTCAGGTCTTTTATCAATTTTAGGAAGAATCTAAAATATCTGACTACAGATATATTCCAAGACAGATTTAATTATATATACACATATACTTTTTAACAGTCAGTAATGAGCTGCTATTTTTTTTCCTTCTGGGAACAAGGCTGGCTTTTACAATTTTCTATGAATGTATTAACAAAAACAATTTTCTATCTGCATAGGCACCTTTTTTTTTGTTAACCCAATCCTTAATATTCTGTTAATAATGAAAATTTATTGCAACTAATTAATATTTAATATATTCACTGAATTATTTTTTAGAATGGGCTACAAAAAAGTAAGGTGTTGAAAATAAATTACACAGAGATTTCATAAAATCTTACAAAAACCACAGGTAAAATTCTGTCAAGAGAAAACTACTGAAAAATAAAAATACAAAATAAACAAACATTTTTAATCTGGATCTTAATACCAAATATTTTTTGCAAGATTGGCCAAATTTGATCACAAATTTTACAGGAAAATTAAAGGATGCTAGTAATAGAGGAATTGGTAATTTTAGTACCACACTTGGTCTAACACTTTCGCCCCGGCCCCTCAACCTCCGGCGTCTTACTCTCAGAGTCGAGATGTCTACTCAGTCCTAACCAAACTTAAGGCAGTGGCTATAGATCACCTGAGCATCCATAGATTATTCGACCGGTCCGTTGGTTTAATCCTGCTTCCTGCCCACGTTGTGATTTGTTTGATCCAGAAAGCAGAAGTGATGTCTGTCTATTCACTGTCGACTGAAGATGTAGACACGGCTGGGGAGTCTGCGCCAAGAAATTTAGAATGCAGCAAAAAAAAAAAAATTTAATATCTGCAGAAAGCCGGACAAACATCGATTCAATGGTTGAATTGTTAATGTCTTTTATATAGCAGAAAAGAATAGTAGAGAAGAGAAACGGGTTACAGAAAAGAAAAGTAAAAAAAACAAAAAACTCATACACTGGATTCTAGACAGAGAGAGTGAGTGTAAGTGGTTATCTTGTTAAATCGTCTCAGAACGATATATGATTCTTGCGATGGAGGGATAAAGATTTATGTGCAGGGCTTAAAGTTATAGTGGTGTTCCTCCTCCCAACGCTCGCCCGGGCCAATTCTCTCTTCTTTCTTCAAGAATTTTCTCCCGTCTGTCTTTTTCAGCATAACTACGCTGCTTATATAGATAAACCCGGCTGATTATAACTGACCTTGGCCCTACTACAAAAGATGCAATTATCATGGGGTTCTGGCTGCTTCAACCAAAATCATGTGAATTCCAAAGTTCCTTCTAGCTTACTCAGCTCTATTTCAATTTTTAATCGATAAAAATTATTTCGACCAATTTCATTGTCTCCTGATGACCCAGATTCAATGGGTACAACTTCTGCCCTAGATCAGATTTCCCCATCAGTAAACAAAATGCTCTGATTTAATTTCGCTATTCGAATCTACTCCAATTTCACTAAAAAAAAAAAAAAAAGAAATGTGTGTGTGTGTGTTTCCCAGACTCTCTGTCACATTGGCTTCACTAAGCACCTGTTAGGTGGTGCTGTTTAAGTCTATAAAAAGGTAAACATTTCCTTTCATTTTTCTCCCTGTTGCTCTAATACGGAGCAGATTGTGAATGAATAGGACCCCTGCTGGGAATGTCTCTTTACTCCAGTCAACTGACAAGTGAACTCTCTTACCACTTTCCAATGCATAGCATTCAGACATACTTTTGCAGCTTCACCCATGGAGTAAGTACTTTGGTCATTCCAAATCAATGCAAAACTAACTTGAAGTCAACCATTTTAACCATTCTTACCCTAACTTACTTCTGGACTAGAAAAAGAAAATGGACAAACCGAAGAGACATTGAGAACTTTGTTTTCCTACAGTTTATATAAAAAAAGACTAAATGGTCCATAGTAAAACTAAAAGTTTTTGTTGCTTTTGCATTAATTGTTTATATATGAATATGAACATAGCTACAATACACACCAACACACAATCTTTAAATTCTATATAACCAAGAATAAATGTTAATACTTACAGCGACATGACGGCGGTGATGGTCAACCATATCCAGCAAAGGAAACGTCTGTCGAAGGGTTTCTATAGTAGTAACTTTTGTAAATCCCAGGTTCTTGGCAATTTCTAAGACAGGCCCTTGACCAGAAACCAGAACATGCTTGTCATGAAATTGGCGAAACATTTTCAAGGGACTGTGAGACATAATTACTTGTTCTGATTCCACCTGCATTAAAATAAAAGATTGTTTTATGAGCATTTCTCTAAAACAATATCTATTACATAAAATAAATTACATTTTCAAATAAAATAATCAGGTATATAAAAAAAAGGTTACTGAAAATTATCTACATTGTGTGCAAGAAGAAAAATAACATTTTCTTTTTTAGATTGCTTGCCATGCAGTCATCAAATTTGATTGGAGAAAACAAAAACCCATAAATTGCTTTAAATCCTACTGTAGTGAATATGGGAAGTTAGTCTTTTGCTTAACAAATATGAACAGATACCCCAAAACCCAGTATTGCAGATCACATAGAAAATAGTAAGAGGATTTGGCTGAAACAAAGTCAAACTAAGAGATAAAAGATAATACTGAAAAATTTAGAAACTCAACATGCCTATACTATCAAAAAGCAAGATAAATTAGTACCATTAAAAAAGTCTCAAGAAAGCCAAACCCTAAGAAAGCACATCCTGGTGTAGTAAATTTTATGTTATAAAATGTTGCCAATAAAATAACACTGAATAAAAAAGTTTTATTTTTATTGTCAGTTCTCTTTGCAAATCAATTTCTAAGTTTACCATTTCATGAGTTCATTGTTGACATCATGAAAACAGGCAGAAAGGTAATTGTAGCCGATAAAATATAGACCAATACAAATTAAAGTGAGTATACCAATTTTAATTGCTAGAAGGCTATAAATTCTAACAAACAAAAAGTTAGAACAGCATTCTCTGATGGGTTTATTTCAAAAGTCTCTGGAAGAACTTAATGAGAGTAGGAGAATGAAACAGCTACTAAAAAAAGAATATGGATCTAAATAAAGTTGTATATATCTGTGGGTATTTGCTTTATAGCAATGGTTAACAAGATAATCTTGCAAAGTATTGCAATTCAGGCTAAGCTTATCAAAGCAAATATCTCTAAAAACCATGTGCCTCGTGTAATAATAATTATTTAAACTTAGGCAAAACCTTAGAAATGCCTATGTCAATTCTTATAATTCATATCAAAATGAAATTCCTAGCTGGAAACAAGAAACTTATTATTTTATTAAAAAAAATATAACTAAAATGAATAATCATGTTTAGGAAAAAGAAAACAAAAAACACACACATAAATTTTTTATACCATGAGAAAGAGCAATATCTAAAAGTTGTAAATTTAATTCAATTTCATAGACTATTCATAATCATCATCATACTCTTGACTGCTTCAATCATTGGGGGTGAGTATCAGACGGCAGAAGAAACAGACATTGATTCTTTTTCTTCATGATCTTTTCGTATAGCTTGGTGGCACCCGTCTCCTCTTGATCGACAACCAAAAACCACTGAATATGTATATGGAGTGAGGGTGAACCACACCCATATAGACTATTACAAATTTCTATGATTTTGTTTTCTAGATGGTTGGAACATTTTGATAAAACAAAAAAAAACAAAAATCAGTTTTTGAAAAATACAATAACAAAGGTAACATTATCACTTTATTTTGAAAATGTATATAAATTATTTCATATTTTGAAATCCTAGATTTAGGACTTCTTAAATGCGCATGCACATACATATAATTTATTACTATAAACATCATATTTATTAATATAAATGTTATAGTTATTGGATGCACATGTTTGAATAGACATCTTTGTGTTTTTTAAACAGTGTAATTGACATTTACTGGTCTGGACATTTGTAAAGTTTTAATAAAAAACTGATGCATTTTTACAGAGAACAGACCTGTATCCCTTTATATTGGGTAAACTACATTACAGTTAGGTGTACTTTAGACCACACAGTGAGCAATGACTTCACAGAAAAGCAAAACTTTTAATCTCGATTCACATTTTCTTATCCTGTGAAGCCTTTCAAGGCTGAGCAGACTAAAGCACACCTAGCTTATAGGTGGTTTTGCTAATAATAAGTCACAGGTCCTGTTGAAAGGCACAGTTTCTTTAGTAAGACTTTCAAATATCCAGTCTGGTAAACCTCAATTACACTGTTTTTTAAAAAAAACAGGGTTTTCTACTCATGTACCCATTAAATATAATGTTTATAGTAATAAGAAATGATGTTGGATTATAAATAAAAATCCAGTAATTCCTTATAAATTACTTTGTTTACTTTTCTTTGGAAAAATATTTTTTATGTATCACATAAAATCACAGGTACAATTTATTAAACAAGTCATCAAAACTTTCATTCATTCTAATGATTATATAGTGACATAGCAAATTCTATTGGTAAATTGACAGAATTACAATCGTATTTGTCTCCCTTTGCCTCTACCAGGGTGTAGGGACCCTCAAATTGGTCAACCTGTCTCTTCTGTTAATCAATTCTGTTAATCAGTTTCTTTTTTTAGTCTGTTCTAGGTTATGTCATAAAAGAGATAGAAAAGACATTTCTATCATTTTTATATTCAAATATCTACTTAATGAATCATTCTTGTAATTAAAATAAATAAATGTATAATATCAAACAAAAAAATACCCAGACACATGCAAAGAACAATAACAACATCTTTTTAAGCAGCAGCTGCATCAAAATAAAGGAAAATTGTTACTGGTTTTGTTGTGCAAGCAGATGTACCTTTATTGTACATACAAAACCAGAGGAAGCTTTATAGCTAGAATTTTGGCTTCATTATTCTTTCACAAAGATTCATGAGTAAGCTCATCCTTTGTATATAAACCAACCTTATGACTGGACAAAAAATGATTAATTCATAATAAGTCTTATCTATATGGTAACTTCAGGGATTCAGGTTAATATAATAAATTAGGTTAAAGCTACATTAAATGTTTAGCTTTTTTATTCTTTCAGTGAAGAAATGAACAATACTGTCAATATTCAACAGCTGTCAGTACATTGCATAAACAATAATATTGATTAAGATTTCAACTTAATGAAACTATTGCCATATGGAGGTTGATTTCTGTCCCAATATTTTGTACCAAACTAAATACTGAACACAGATTACAAACTTCTCTCAAACATACTGTTAAACAATGATAAAAGCTTAAAAATAGGGCAAAGTAGTTTCGTCTCAGAAATCCATGAAAGCAAAAGAAATTTTTGTTTTTTAAATAAGCATATTTTTAGCATTGTTTATACACACCTAAATTCATCAACTTTGTATATAAAACATTCTTTTAATTTAAAAATTTTTCATTTAACACAAACTTTCAGAAAATGGAAAAACTGCAGCAAAAAATAATTACCTCAGTCAATTTTAAATAACTGAGTTTTGATGGGCTCAGCAAAAGAAGTGAACCTTGTGAAACGTCAAAAAAATTAAACATGCACAGGATTCTGATGGTGACCAGGCGAGGAACATAAGAGACGATTCAAACATTGCTTGTATTGAAAGTACCAATAAATCTACAGATTTATGTTTATTGATGCTTTATATTTCTACTCTCGTGAGTAGGGGGAGAGGTTCGGATATGGTTTGTCCAGAGTCTACTATGATCTTCAGACAGTTACTAGTTGTTTAGATTAGTACAGAAATTATGGAGAAATAAATCATTACACATAAAAGATGCACAGTTCATTATTACATATCAGGGATGCAAAGAAAAGGGAAGTGTACGATATAGTATATGAGGGATCAGATGAAGAAATAGTTTTAAACAGGAGTGAAAAGTGAAAAGTTCAAGGTAGATGAGACGTTTCTGCATAATCTGAAATCTTACCTGACAAAACACAGAAGTTTATTCATGGATTGAAAATCTGTTCTCCTTCTCCTGTCAATTGTAAACAATTGGTTTTTGACGAGCTCAACAAAAAAGTGTGAACATCTGGCTAATGTGTATCAGAAACACCTTGATAGTGGTAACGTAAATAAATACAGGTATTTAAACAACTACTTCGCTTTCAAACTGTCATGATCAGTAGGATCACAATTTCTCAAATATATTTGAACACTAGCAGCATTACACGGCGTTGCCTGGGTTTATTAAAAAAAAGATCACAAACCTCATCCAATCTGTAAAGTTAAAATAAAGAAGATTTTTCTTTAGTGCCTCTTATCTATATGGCGAAAAATTATAATGACATGAAGTGTGAAAACATTTATAACTGGAGAAAGTTGTTTTTTACAGAAGCACAGAAGATACAAAAAAAATTGTCAGCAAATGAAGAGTATATTAATTGCAATCGATCTTCGAAAATTGTTGAGGAGAAATGCTTTGTTGACAGCTTTTGCTCAAACTACACCGAATGAACAAGATGAAGGAGAAGAAATTCAACAAAGACTTCTCCTAGCAGCTGTGCCAAGGCTGAAAACTAACATTCATAAAGACTGTATAGAATTGTTCTTTGCCCCTCAGTTTCGACTGCTCGAGTAGCAGAGGTTCTGGCAGCGTTCCTTCCTCGTCTAGTTAACCGTTGTTCGTTAGTTCCTGCTAACCTTGCATTAGCTGTACCAATAGCATTTTGTGTCAGTCTAATTTAAGTTTCTTGTTGTGAAGCGTTTCTTCTCCATGCTTTCATGCATTTGGCTGTAGTAGTAGCACGTCCAAGTGAAGGATTTTGCTTTCTTGGCATTACTGTCAGGCTGTAGTTGGAGGGGTTTGGCTAAGCTTTTTGAATAACAATGAAGTAATCAATTAAAAAGCAAGAATATTATACACATTAATGGAAATATAGCCACAATAAATTAAATGCAAGTTTATAAGGAAGACCACGGGAACGTAGTAAACAATTATAAGCAAGCTCGTAAAGTTAGGATTTATCTAAAAATAGACTACCAAAAAAGCGTTCTAGTGATAAAAATAAAAATTAACATGCAGCTAGAAACCTACTCACTATGAATGTTAAAATGTACATGCTAAGTTTAGCATAATTATAAATGAATTGAAAGAGGGTCTTTACATTATTAAAAGTGCATTTTTCACAATAAAACTGTCAAAATTTTACGGTTCAAGATTCCAAATACATGAGTTAGTAAGCATTATTTAAATCCTGATTAGAAGATGATAAATACATAATTAAAAATTGGCATTTATGCTTAAACTTTTTTAATAATATGATTTTCACAAATTTAAAGTATCAAAAATTCAAAATATACATGCATGAAGGCAGCCTAACTTTTTACTGGATGACAACTTTGATGCAAATGAGATTTTTTGCATTTATTCCATCACATAGCACTAATAAACACTACACGTGAAGCAAAATTGATAGTACACACTACATAACTCAATCGATCATTGCACGTGGAGCAAAATCAATTGTACACACTACACATCTCGATCGATCTTGCACACACATCTTATACCTATGTGCACTTCTCTCATCGGTGCACACTTTCGTTTGCACTTATTCTTTTTTTCTTAAGGAAGGATATAATTTTTGCCATCAAGTTAATGCAAACTAAACTATTTCAGTACCAAAACAGGAAAATCCATGGGAAAAACTGATATTTTTCATAATGTATTTATGACACATGGGGTGTCAGTTTTGATTTTGAGTTGATTGATCTAAACACAAATTATGTGCAAATTTTCATTCGAATGCTGTTAACCATTACAATTGAAAGACTAATGGGGCAGCAAGGTGTTCATGGGTCATCTTGGGGACCCCTTATGTAGTTTTCAAAATCTGATAATTGTTTTTGATTCATTTTAAGATTGTAACATACATGTAAAATTCCGTTGAAATTGAAGCAATTTGAAAATTTGGGGGTCCCTTTGGTTCACCCTAGGGGTCCAAAATTTCAAGCCAAAGAACAGGTTTAAGACTAATAGTAATTGAAATAATAAAGCACATCTTTTTTTAAGTTTTCTATTTAATCGACTTTATGGCCAAGGCTGTAGACTTAATTGAAAATTTCAGGGTTCTCTGCTGGTCCCCTAACTTGTGGGGATCCCAGTGTTGATTTTCAGTGAATTCCAAGTGACTACTTCAGTTACTTGATATAATCTCAATATGTACTGAAATTTTTGTTGAAATTAGGGAATACTGCTACAAAATACACTTGAAAAGCAATTGAGGCATCAAGGGGTTTATAGGGTCATCCTGGGGGCCCCCTCATGCATTTTAAAAAATCTGACAACCGATTTCTATCTCATTGTAAGAGCGTAACAAACATGCAAAATTTCATCAAAATCGAAGCAAATTGAATCTTTTGGGGTCCCAGTGTCAAGAGAAACGAAAATCAATATAGCGTATAACAAGCGTGACAGTAAGTTGCATACACTTATCAAGTTTCATTAAAATTGGCCTTAGGGTTTAACCTTCAAGTTTGAAAGTTTAAAAACAATCAAACTAATGAAAATTCCCATTTAAGCATTATATTTATCGATTATTGATTTTTGAAAAATGACTAATTTTTTTGCCCAGACACACCCAGTATCGAGTACAATCTATGTTCCAAATTTGGTAGAAATATGCCTTATGGTTCTCGAGTAGTTTGCGAACACACACACACACACACATACATACAGAGTCAGTTTTATATATATATAGATAGATAATGTTTCATAACAAAAATTGTGAAATTTCCTGTATTGTACAAATGATAATTAGTTCTTGAGGAAAAATTGAGACTATGCCTGTATTGTAAGGAAAAAATAATTTGGAAGACTTGAAATGGTTCTTGTTGAAAATTTTGAGTTTAATCCTTTATTGTACAGAAAAATAACATGGAAAACTTGAAATTTGTTTTTACGGAGTGTTAAAAGTTAAGAATTTTTTATTTAAAAATATCATTTAATTCATGCAATTTAAAATATATTTTCAGCATATAGTACAAAGGTTTCTGGCAAAGGGATATGCTTAATTTATTAGATGAATTGTAAATTTTGATTAGTATTGCTTTTCTTTTAATTTCAGTTACAATAAAAAAATTAAGATGAAAGGAATTGTAGTCAAAAAATAATAATAGTAAAGATTGGCTTTTTGCCCATTTTTATGGCAACATTTACACAAATATCACATTTCAAGATGATTGGAAACAAATAGAAAAAACAAATTTGAATTCATGTATTTCAAACAAACTATTGTTCTCTGATAGAGGACTCTAAACAAACTATTGTTCTCTGATAGAGACTCTAAACAAACTATGGCAAGTTATATAGTTGAAAAGCTAAACTAGCTTTCACATGTTTCAGGGATTTCTTTCTAAACTTTTTGAAATGTTTAATTTTTTTTCTTATGAATTCTAATATTAGAATTATTAAGTAAATATTTTTTATATATATTTACGCCTACAAACCTGAATTCCAAGCCAATTTGACAATTGTTTGGCTTTTTCCTGACGTAGCATGTTACCAGCATTAGTGACAAAAAGGGCTGGAACTCTAAATTTTCCATATTCATCAGTTAAGAGTCTGAATGCTTCTTTTGCAGATGGTAGGAGGCGTTTTCCTCTCACTATTACTCCATCTATGTCGAATAGAAACCCAAAACATGGATTGTTTCCCTGCAAAATAAAATAAAATTTTTTTTTAAATTGTCAAATTATGAGGAAAAAATGAAAGAAAAAGTTTATTAGTTGGAGATAGAAAATTATTTGATAAACTGTGTTGTAATAAAATAAGCACATCCCATCTCCCTTGTAACCATCTACTAAAATAAAAATTATATTAAAAATGCAATAATAAAAATGAAAGAGCAACTCATCAACATAGATAAAGAACTAAAAATACTTTATCTATGAAATTTAGAAAACTAGAAGCTTCCTATTTAAAGTAGCTAGAGAATATAGAAAAATAATTAAATAAAACAAGTTTTTGTTTAAGATTTTAAAATTATTTATTCAATGAGGGCTTCAGACTGATCATAGTCTTTTCTCATCTGTTAGCAGACAGTGAAATAAACAGCCTTGCCTGGGATATTAAAATGCCTTTACAAAATGAATGTCACAAGTTATTCAAAGATAACAAAAAGAAAAGTAAACTTGTTTTATTAGATATAATTTTAACACAATATCCATGAGAAATATATATATATATATATATATATATACACAGGGCATGTGGCCAAGTGGTTAGAATGTTCGCTTTCTGACCATGAGACCCAGGTTTGAATTTTACCATGATTGTTTTGTCAGGAAGGAGACATCCTGACATTATCAGTCTGGAGGGGGCAATCCCAGCGTACAGCACCTTTGGAAAGTGCCTGTAAACCATGCCACGGGTTGACCCAAGATTTGTGAGTGAAATTTTATAGACAGAACACTTGGGGGTGGTGTCAATAGCTGTACTAGCACAAAGTCACAAATCATCATGACCAAGAGTTTGAGTGTGCTGGCATTGTTTAGATTGTTGATCATGCCAGATAACACACTCTCTCCCAGAAACTGTAACTAAGGTCTGCTCAGCATAGTGGCAGTATAAACCACAGGTGGGCTCTGTGGGTGTTGAACAGACACAAGTGTGCCTGAACAGCATCTGCAATAGGGATTGGCTAGCTGCCCTAGTAGACGTGTATCCTCGAATATGAGTGGCTAGCTATATATATATATATATATATATATATATATATATATATACACACACACACACACACACGTATAGATATACATACACACACATATAAACACATATATATATATATATAAACACACATACACACACACACACACACACACACACACAATTTGAAGCTTCTGCTCTGCGTTTGGTAGGATCAGCTGGATGTAGTTTATTATGAACTGCTCAAGCCAACCGAAACCATCATGGGAGATCACTATCAACTACAATTGATGCATCTGAGTTGAGCATTGAAGAAAAAACACTTATAAAGATGCCAAAAGTGGGTTGACTTGTGGTTAGCTTCAAAAGACATGTGGTTTTTCTGATGTGGAATTCAAATGCTACCAGAAAGATGTAATGGCAGGTGATGGAAAATACTTTCAGTGACATGTTTCTTACTAATTTTGTAAATAAAACATTACTTTTCATGAAAAAAATCAGCAAGAAGTTATTCAAGGTCCTTATATATATATATATATATATATATATATATATATATATATATATATATGCAGAATATAGTTTTAAAGTGTGCTATATTTATGGGATAAAGTACTCAATATCAGAGATAGGGCATATGTAAATATAAATATAAAAGTGAACATTGAAGTCAACACTAGAGGCATGAAACAGCCTGTTGCCTCTGAGCATTGACTTCAATGTTCATGTATATATATATATATATATATATATATATATATATATATATATATATATATATGAATTGGGATCAAATATGGATTGGAATCTGACCATGACAAGATAAGGAACAAATAGAAAATATTTATAAATCTACCATATTTCACTTTTTATTAAAGCTTCTTTAGAGAATGAAATATGGATGAGAAAAAGAAAATTATACTATTTTTAATTTTTGAGCTGCTTGTTTTTCATTGGTTAAGCAGACCTTACATGCATCTGTTTTGTTAAGCAGCAGCCATGTGTATAATTCATGTGTGTATGCGTATCATAATTCTAGTTTGTCTATGCGGGATTCAAATGATAATATATATTCATTTATTTGTTTGTGTGTGTGTGAATCTATTAGGCATTTTTATCCATTTTTGGTGGTTGCCAGTATGTTGATTTGGGTATGTTTTGTGTGCATATGAAAGAATTTAAGTTATACTAGTTGTAGTAGTAGGAAGACATTCTAGACAAGACAGATGCATGTGAGGTCTGCTTAACCAATTAGAAACAACACGAAAATTAAAAACGCCACAACTGTCTTTTTCTCCTCCATATTTCATTCTCTGAAAGAGTTTTAATAAAAGCGAAACATGTTACATTTATAAACGTTTCCTATTTGTTCCTTATCCTATAAACATATATATATATATATATATATATATATATATATATATATATATATATAGATGTATGTATATATGTGTGTGAAAAAACACTACAGTTTTATCACAAATACAAAAACTGTATGAAGAAATAAAAATTAATTCTAAAATTTATTAAAAGCTTTTTATAGTGTTTAATAAATTTTAGAATTAATTTTATAATAATTTTAGAATTAATTTTTATATTTTTTTTATCTAATATGGAAGGAATTGTATTTGATATCAAGGTGTTTTGAAGAAACTAACCTAGTATTGCAATATCCATTTTATCAATTATTCATATTATATCTGAATCGATATCATTTGAAACTGCAAAAAAATAGTCTGCACTAGTAAATATACTAACAAGTCATTAGAGGATATTATATATTTTTTTGCTTTTTGTCTATAACATTTTTGACTGTTTATTTCTCCATATGTTGAAAACTTGAAATTGAGAAGGCAACAGTCAATTTTATTCTGATTTCAGTTATATGATTTAAATCATATTATCAGAAAGCTGTGAAAAGAATGAAATTTATATGCTAAATTTGTAGAATGCATCACTAAAAAAAATGTATCCAATTTCAGTTTTTAATATAAAATATATTTTAGGTGTGGTGGTGATAACATTTCAATAATGTGTTTTTGTACAAAGATTTTTTCTGTTTAAAAAGATCTTGTTTTTTTTCCACAAAAACTGGTTTGGATATTTTTTTAAACCATATTGAGAGTTTTCAAAAACTTTGATATGCCCTAAAAAGTAATGACTTAATTATTTTTAACAAATTTCAAGGTACATTTATTTTAAACAAATATATACAAAAACATGAATAAAGTAAAAAATAACCCTTGGCATTTTAAAAGTCTTCTTGATTTAATTTCAAGTAAGAAAAATAATTCTTTTAGAAATTTTTTAAATTTTATAAGTATTTAATTTTAAAATTTTAACTATTAATAAACTAAAAAAAAGTGATTATGGTTGATTATTCATTTGTAAGAAATTCAATTTTCAAGTTTTTCTGGATTGAAAAGATCTTCAGAGTAAAAAAGATAAAGGAAAGGAGATACAATTTAAAATTGGAAAAAAAAGAATTAGAGAGACAGTGTCATTTTTTAAAGTCCTGATGGTATTCAATAGTAAATAATTAAAAATAAAATTAATAAAAAACCTGGGTGTAAATTGACCTTTGATATTATTGTTCTTTTTCAAAAATCTACAAACTTAAGAAAGACAAAAATTCAACCACCGCCAATGCAGATGCAACAATTTTTTTTCCCAAAACCTGTTTAAGAGGCTAATTTATTAATCAAGTCTTAGGAAGGTTGAGGACATATGCACCAGGATAAATCAATTATTACTTAAAGAACATAAAATAACCTTTTACTTACTGCTATCATCTAAAAACTGACTTATTCAATTTACAAAGATTGATACAAATTAGAAACAGATAATTAAAAGAAGAATATATCTTGTTCTAGAATCATTTTTATTTTATTTTTTTTATTAAATTTCTAACTAAACTTTTTTAAAGCGATCTTCAATATCAAAATGCCAAGGTTTCTTAAATCACTCATAGGAAATCCAAAAATATAGTTGTTGCTTTATTTTATTACTGTTTTTACTTTTTTTCTTCCAAATATTATCGTCAAATTATTATTTTTTAATTAAAATTTGGTTATTTTATTTAATAAACGAAATTTGTGGTTAATTTGGGCATGTGCAAAATAAAAAAAATATCATAAAATAAATAAGTAATTATTGTTGTTAAAATCAAAGTAACGAACTGTAAGCCAAGATTTTTTAACGTATTTACAAATCTTCCCAAAAAAAATATCCAAGTGAAAAGCCCAATAAATTAAAAGAAAAATCGACATTGTAGATAATAATAATAATATTTACATGTAGGTTGTCATGGAGATTTGAATTACAAAATGATCACATTGTTTTTCTTAATTAATCTTTAAGGTATTTTTATTTATCACGAATGAGAAAATAACAAATAAAAATATTTACTTAATAATAGTGTTATTAAGTACATACAAGTCGATAATTATCACGTCAGTCGGGAGAAAATCATCAAGACGAAAGAAAGGATTAAATGGAAAAATATAGAGACAATTGATCTTCATTTCTTCACTAAAAATGACTGAAATCGTTATTTTTTTTTAAAGATTTTTAAAAGAATAATTGATTTGAAAAAAGAAAACAGCTTTAAAAAAACTTCAATCCAAATATAAAAAGAAATGAACTGCTGAATGATAACAACCTGTCGTTTTTTTGTTTTTTTTAATACAAAACTACTATTGCATTTATTATTATTATTCTCACATTGTATTTAAATAAAACGAAAATTAACATGCGTGTTAAACAGAAGAGGACAAATGAGAATAACGAATGGACTAAAAAACAGTTTTATTTCTTAACAATTCTTGTGCAAAGGAAATTGACAAACCTCTTCTTTTGTTAGATGAGAAAAGTGCCGAGTGATAGAAATGTTAGTCAGCACGTTCTTTTGGATAAAACCGATATTCTTCCGCAAAAAGAGGATGGATGAAACAAATCGTGACGCCATCATTCCATGGTCAGCTGTTCTCTCTTCAGGTTGTAAACAGATCTATTCCTTCTTGAAACCAAAAGATTCATCCGTAAAAAGGAGGAACAACAATGACTGGAAATGACCAAGAACCGGAGGTGTGCAATACAACAACCAATAATAAACCACCGTTTCACCTAGTATCCAATAGAATCCCAGAACAGAAAAATTTGTGTGACGTCAATGCCGTGCTATCAATAAATCGTCTCCCACAAATCGGTGATGCGATGAGAATTTTGTTCATCTCAATATACTTTCGGTTGTCATTAAAATGTCTTTTCAATATGCAATTTCACTGTTTAAATTAAATTTAATATAGGGTATGTAAATATGATTTATCATAAATTATTTAAATGCTTAAAAATTCTTATTTTTTTTAACTTTTATTTTGAATGAGATGTCAGCACTTGAATTTATTAGCGAACGGCATCAGCGCATGGCCTTTCAATTTAACGCAGAGTAATTCACTTAAAAATGCCGTAAAACTGAAATTGACTAGTAGTGTAAAATACCTATTACACTTTTTTTAGCTGTATGTTGTTTCTATTTATTTAATAATTATTGAAAAAGTAAATGTAAAACTAAGTATTCTTCGTAATAATATTGCACGTAAAAAACTGTTGCTCAACTAAAAACATTTATTTTTACATTGCGTCGTTGACCCTTTAATTTCGGCAGTGTTTTCCATTGGTCAAAAAGCATTACTTGACAGGTGGACCACAAACAGACATACACACTGAGTGACAGCAGTTTTATATTCAACTTGTAACTTTTTTTTTTACTTATTTAATTATTTTAACTAATTAAGACATTTAAGCTATATAATGTCAGTTAATAAACTGCAATAACACTTGTTAAGAATGTTCACAGAAATGGAAAAGTATCTTATATGGAAAATGCTGAAACATTTAAATGTCATTAGGACAATTAATTTCTTAGAACACAATTTAAAAACAAACAAACTGGTATGCAATTTCAAAGGTTAGTGTGTCTTTTGAGCTCTAGCCAATTCGCTTCTCTCTCTGGTTAAAAAGGTAGTCGTTTGGTGGAATTTGTGCAGACGAACTGGCATTTTTTTAAGTTGACTGACTGCGACCTGTTGCAATGCCTCGCTTTTTTTCTATTCGGAGGAAACAAGCTAGAGGATGTTTTTGTTTTGATTTTACCTATGCCAACAGCGATTGGTTAGAAAAACCTCGTTATACCTCGTGATCCGTGATCATTTTCTTTTTGTCCGCTAATTTTTAATCTTATTTTAGATTTTATTTTTGGTATCTTTTTCCTGCTATTTTGATATATCGTTATTAATATTATTACATTTTTTAAGCTTTGTATTGTGTATCTTTTTTTTTTTTTTTTTTTTTTAAATTTATTGGGTTGGTAAAAATGTTCGTTCGGTTTAAATCTTCTATTTAATAACTGAACGAACTTTTTGGCTAACCTACAATGAGCATTTTTATTAAATTTTCTTTATTAAGTTATCTCGGGTGCGCAGGTAGGTATATGTAATACACACTGTTTAAAATAAAAATCTGTCGTCTGTTTCAAATACGAGTATCCACTAAAAATAACGTTTGAACTTTGAAGTAATCAAACGTTGGATTAAAAAATAAAATCATTAAATATTTATATTTGCAATTTAAATAATCGATTCAACTTACGTTGTTTCTTTTTTTTTTTTTTTTTTTACAGTGTTTGATATTTGGGGTAGCACGATTTATCCGTGCGCCCACTCGAGCAGAATGTGACATAAGGTCGAGTTGAATGTGAGTGCTTGCGCCAACACGAGGATGGAGTGCCACTATAAAGTGAAATTCAAACCTTACATACAGTGTATACTACATTACCTGCCTGCGCATCCGAGATAATTTAATAAAGAAAATTTAAACTTGTATATAGTTTTTTAAAAGTTGCAGTTCCTCTAACTGCAAATATCAAGAGCTAGTATTTAATATTTTTGCAATTTACAACTTACGTTTGTATTTTAAATTTGACTTTATAGTCATGTTTGACTTTATTGAGTAAAAAGAAATAACATAAGTTGTACATTGCAAGTTGAAATATTGCCGCCTGTCAGTTGCTGCAGAGGAAATATTAACTTTTTTTAACCTGCTAAAAAAGCATACAGGATGTAGATTTTAAATTTGATAGAGGTTAGTTTGATACAAGCCCTCGGGTGTGAGATAGGCCTTGAGAGTGTGAGGGTACAGTTTAGTACATTCACAAATCAGTCAATAGAACAAATATCAAGTTACCAACCAACCAACCAACGAATCGACCAACAAAACCAGTGATCAACGGCCACGGTTAGGTACCGAAGATATTAGCTTAGTAGTTTAATTTAGCTCAAGGCCAATGGGGAGAAAAATAAAGTACTAATGTACTATTAGGGTGCACTTCTTTAAAATGGGGAGGATCTACCTGGAAAAGCAGCATTCTAGCTTTGGAGATGCTGTCAATCTCTCTCTTCCCCCTCTCTCACTCACTCACTCTCTCTCTCTCTCTCTTATAAAGTTTATTAGTAATACAAAATAATTAAAAATAATGATTAATAAAAAGTCTAGATAATTATAAATAAATATCATAGTCCAGGTTTGTCTTTTACAATTACTTTTGGGAGAAGTGTATATGAAAGAACACCAGACTGTTTATAAAAAAATTAAATTTGATGTGTTACATTTATCTGTAAAAGTGACTAAATTTAATGTTGACTCTAAAAGAAACACCGAAAATATATTTCAAAATTAATTTTTCAAATTTAATATATATATATATATATATATATATACTCTTTATATTTATTATTTATTGTCCAATCAAAAGATTGATTTCCACTCACGTAAATTGCATTGTTAAGATCCGTCTGTAGCTTTTTTAATTGTTATATAAGAAGACGGGTTAGCGGATATGTTTAGAAAGTAATTTAATTTTCGAACAGAACGTAGTAATAATTTTTTCACGCGGAAGGAGCGAATACTTCGAAGAAGTCAGAAGACGAGGAGACATAAAGTAAAAATATTTTTCTCTTAGGAAGAAATGGGGAAAAGAATTATTCCGAATATTGATAAAAGCCGCATACAATAGCAAACAAAACTCGAAACTACCCCGCGAAATATGATATGAACATTTATTATACAGATGTAAAACAATATGACAAAAAATACAAATGTTACAAAAAATGTTCGCTACTGTCTTTCTTCCTTCTTCTTAGCTGACACGCCTATTTCTGTGAAGGCAAAGTTTTCATTTGTCCAAAAACAATTTCACATAGGCTCGCGAAATTCTTTTTTCCTTTTTCTTGGGCTCACTGGTTAATTTCTGTGAAAGGTAAAAATCTCACATAGATTCGCGAATTTTTTCCTTCTTCCTCTGAATTTGAAGGAATTGGGTGAAGGGAGTTATTATTATTTTGCACTCATTACACACCCATCTAACAAATAAAAGAAAAAAAAACTACTTCAGTTTATCGCTCGAGAGTCTCTAGGAAGTTTGACGATATTTTGCAATGTCATTCTGTTTACTTTCTGCTTGGTTTCCATGTGTTTCTTTCGTTTTTACTTATCCCACAAGAGTCTTTGGGAAGTTTTCCGGTGATATTTTGAAATTTCTTTGTTTTTAAAGGTTCCTTTTTGTGGTTCTCTCTGTTGTTCTTTTTCGTCGGCGTAGTTTTTAAGAATGCCGAAACCTTTCTGCCCTTTGATCTGCTGGTAACTTTCACACGAGGAAGCCTAAAACCCCCTCCGCAGCCAGCCGGCCTGCTTCATATCTGACGTCCAAGTCTCTCTTTTGTCTTACTTTTGCCAACTGACTTCCGTCGCATGTGATGTCTAAATCCCTTCTGTACGTTGTCCGCTGATCCGAGTTCTTTTATACTCTCGGGAGTGGATCAAACGAGTTTCTACTTTAAATTTACGAGGGTGGAAGCTACCCCTTTTGATTGGACAAAATAAGGTGAATATATGTTTCTTAATTTGAAAAAATGGGCCACAAACAATCTGCTATGACCGTTAGTTTTGACGGACACTTTTAACAATTCTAAATGAAAAATATTTTATATACGAATCTAACAATTGTTAATAAACCGTCTGGATTTTCTTTAATACACTTCTCACAAAAGTATGAGTATAAAACAAACTTTTTGATTTACACCTTTTAATTAAGTATTATTTTTAATTATTTTATACTAACTAATAACATGGTTTAAGAAGGCCAAAAAAAAAGGTTCCAGAAGGAAAAGCTATTTTTGTCTTTCACCTGTGGATGAGTTGGGCCGTTTTGCACACACGAAGAAAACGGAAAAGTGAAACCTGTAAATAGAACTGTGTTCTAATGAAGAAAAACTTATTAATTAAAAGTCCCAGTGGCGCACATGAATTTTGCCAAATCGCTATTTTTCAGAGTATTTTCAACCTTCAGAGTCCGTCTATACTTCTGAGATGAGGTAAAAATGGTTGCTGAAGACATTAGGTTTATAATACCCAGAAAATCATACCCAGATGTCCTCAAGCACAGTGGATAAAGGCGTTGGTTAGATCCAGTGACAGGACCCAAAGAGTGTGAGTTCAATACCCGGTTAAGGCAGTGGAGAACTTTCAGAGTGAAATTAACAGGAAATAACTGGTAACTGACATCCATCAAACATAGCACGTGGAACTAGAACAGTCTACCCCGGTGAGCGAAATAAAGGGTTCGGTTCGACATTCCAACTACCTGAAGAAGGCCGGAGCGTACAACGGCCGAAACGTTGTGATAAATATGGCGACAAAGATGAGGACAATAGTCCGAATAATATAAATAATTTTCAACCTTATTTAAAGTTTTTGTATTATCTTCTCAATGTTTTTTTTTCCCACATTATTTGAAGATTGCATTGCAAATCTTTTTAAGAGCCTTTGTATATTTTGATCTATTATCTGTGGGATCACTCACATCATACCATCAGGGATAGCCTCATGTTTCCAGGAATAAAAATATACAAA